ATGGATGGATGGATGGATGGATAGTGATAAGAGCTGTAAGAGCCCCTAATAAAATGATTTATTTACCTCTTTACAATCAAAGGTGTCACTGTAAGGACTAAGGTGAGCCAGAAGAAAGCCAGGGTCTTTTCAATTACTTCATTTGCATATGAAATATGAAAGTTCAGAAAATTAAAGAATTTTACTGAGAAAATGAGTAGAATGGAAGAAAACACGTGGGAACTATTTCTTTGATCAAGGTATAATATCCAGAACACAAAATGTAGGCAAGGAACTTGAATAGCATTCTACCAAAGAAGTATACAAAGTATTGCAGACTTACAATACAGATATTTACAGTAAGCATGTGAAAAGATGTTCATTAAAAAAAAAAAGGAAAGATGTTCAGTGTCATTAGTCATTCTGACAAAACTGATTGCCATTGAATTGATTCCAACTCATAGCAACCTTATAGGACAAAAGGAACTGCCTTGGGAGGTTGCTGAGGCTATAAATCTATACAGGAGCAGAAAGCCTAATGGAGTAGCTGATGGGTTTGAACTGCTGACCTTGCAGTTAGTAGCCCAATGGGTAACTTGCAAATGCAAATCAAAAAACACTGTGATACTATGTCACCCCAATAGGACATATCAGAAAAATGAAAAAAAGAACAAAACATGTTGGCATTTTTTCCAATAGACTAATGGACCAAAGAAACAAATCTTACAACATTATGGAAAGAAATATGGTGTTATCTCAAACAACTGGGAATGGAAACCTCATAAGAGCCAGCTGCTTGGTATATGCCGTAAAGAAGTAAGAGCCTTACCATGAACAGATATATATGCACTCCCATCTTCATCATAGCACTAGTCACAATTGCAAGAAGTTGGAAACAGCCCAAAAGCCCATTAGTAGAAAAATGGACAAGGAAACTTTGGTACTTGTTGTTGTTCTTTGTTTTTGGCTGTTGTTGCTGTAGTGTGATTATCTTTATATGAAACACAGGCTAGGTAAATCTATAGAGACAATAACTAGAATAATGGTTTCTTAGGGTTATTTTAGGGGAGGCCAGGGGAAAGGAAAAGCTAATATTTATTAATAGATACAAGAATAAAGAAAGCATTTTAAAATTGAAAGAAAAAAAAACTTTGGTACATGCAAGCAATGAAATACTCTCATACTTAAAAAGCAATGATGAAACCATGAAATGCCTCGTGACATGGATAGACCTGAGAGCATTATCCTGAGTGAAGTTAGTCAATCACAAAAGGACCAATATTGTGTAAGACTACTACTATTATAACCCAAACAGAGATTTGCAGCCCAAAGAGAACAGACTTTGTAGGCTACCAAGTAGGGAGGACAGTAAGGGAGGGACAATGAAGTTTGTGGGAAATTTTAATTTAATTCTGTCAAGGGTGGGGAAAAAGTCTAGGAAAAATATATATATATTACAAAATATATTTTCCACCCTTTCCAGATCTGGATAAATTCCACTTAATTATGATGTGTCTTTATTTCTTATTACAGAGGAACGCTTTCAGATAAATTGACATACAACCAGGAACTCATGATCTTGCATGGATTTTCTAGGAAGAGGCAGGAATCATTCTGGAGGGAGTTGCCCAAGTTCCTCAGGAGGAAGGCATTATAAACTACAAGTGGTGTTCAGAAAAATTCATGGAATAGTTCCATTATTTATTATTATTTTTGGATGGGTGAGTGAATGAGTGAGTGGGTAGATGAATGAATGAATGCATGATGAATGAATGAGTTGATGAGGCCCCCCCCAGCTCCCTGAGTGAATGAGTGAGTGGATGGATGAGTGAATGATTAAGTGAAGGAATGACTGAATGAATGGATGAGTCAATGGATGGATGGGTGAGTGAATGAGTGAGTGGGTAGATGAATGAATGAATGCATGATGAATGAATGAGTTGATGAGGCCCCCCGAGCTCCCTGAGTGAATGAGTGAGTGGATGGAGGAGTGAATGAATGGGTGGCTGAATGAGTGTAGGAATGAATGAATGGATGAGGCCCTGAGCCCCCTGAGTGAATGAATGAGTGGATGAAAGATGGATGGATGAAAGAGTGCAGGAATGTATGAGTGGATGAGGTCCCTGAGCCCCTGAGTGAATGAGTGAGTGGATGGAGGAGTGAATGAAAGATGGATGGATGAAAAAGTGCAGCAATGTATGAGTGGATGAGGTCCCCAAGACCCTGAGTGAATGAGTGAGTGGATGGAGGAGTGAATGAAAGATGTCCATTATTTTTTAAGTTCTATTTTTCCACAAACTTTTTGAAGTCCCCTGTAGCTTTTTCCAGAAGTTCTTTATCGAATACCTCCAACTGCAACTATATGTATCTGCTAGGTGTTGGGGGCAGGGTGTGGGATTCAGAAAGGTTTCCCCCCCCTATAGTATGCCCAGCCTAGGACACTGCTTGCTAGGGCATGGGAGGTCAGCTGCATAGAGGTGATCTCCCTGAGGGTATCAGCCACCTAGGGCAATCAGACCCTATTGTCTGTCCCACATTAGGTGGGGCCCACTCCCTGATGATAAGGATAGTGGAGTGTTTCCCTGAAGGAGAGCCCAGAGATAAGGTCAAGCCAACTCTAGGATGACCAAAGTTAGGCTGCCATCTTGAATCTAGGATCCACCCATCTTGTTACATGTGTAGCCCTAGCTCCTCCTCTTCCTATTGCGTATATACCCCTAGCTCATCCCCTTCCTGTGATGCATATGCCTACTTACCGCCACTTCCTGTGACATATGTGGTTACCTGTAATGAGGGGGGCTTGCACATCCCCTAAGTGTATATAAGCTGTGATTGGAAATATATTC